TAGGCTGATGGCTGTTCGGCCAGGGCAGGTGTGAAGGTTGAATAAATATTTGCTGCGAGCACAGCGGGGGTTGCAATACACGGATGGCAATGGCCTCTGCAGTGACGAGCATCCTTAACCGCGTAACTTTCGATTTCCTCATTGGAACCTGAGAAATCACAGTGAAGGCATTCGGAAGGTTAATCTGGTGACCTGACTCGAACAGATGACACAAAATGCCGCTTGTAAGCAACCTGGTGCCCCCGTTCAACCACCATTTAGAGCTATGTTCCTTAATGCCACGTGACAGTTGACGAGCCGTCCGACCAATGTATGCTGCTCCACAAGTGCCACGAACCAGCAAATTCTTGTGTGCAACAAGGACAGGGTACCGAAGCTGACATCTTCTTACGTTATCTATCGATTTGAGTGCACTTGTGCGGCAACATACATTGGTCGGATGGCTCGTCAATTGTCACGTCGCCTTAAGGAACATAACTCTAAATGATGGTTGAACGGGGGCACCAGATTGCTTACAAGCGGCATTTTGTGTCATCTGTTCGAATCAGGTCACCAGATTAACCTTCCGAATGCCTTCACTGTGATTTCTCAGGTTCCAATGAGGAAATTGAAAGTTACGCGGTTAAGGATACTCGTCACTGCAGAGGCCATTGCCATCCGAGTATTGCAACCCCCGCTGTGCTCGCAGCAAATATTTATTCAACCTTCACACCTGCCCTGGCCGAACAGCCATCAGCCTAGCCGTCACCCTGACATTGGCTCAGGCATTGTGATTACGTAACCCTCAATCGATCTGTGTGAATGAGACAGCGGCGAACTATTCGCTGTCTAACCATTGACCGAGTCAGTTCAGAACAAACCCCGAACCAATCACTATCCATCCCTTTGTACTTTAACCTTATATGTTTGTACCGGCCCGTAGCTGAATCATTGAAGTGAACCAGCGATATATACATATCTATGTATATAATTAAACTGCACACTTAGTTAGTAACTAAGGAGCGCAGTTAGATGGCAAAAAGTATGCCACAACAACACGTTACGCAAGGGCCAGTGTACGGTACACGTTACGTCAGGTCAGGTCAAACGGACGATAGAGGCTTTCGCCTAACGAGAGTCCAGTTTCCTGTGCCGGTAAGTGAAGCGGCCCCCGGCACTTCTACCTTGGATTGACTTCTTGCTTCTGCAAAGGAATGAAGCAAGAACAAGAACAATCTTTGCACTTTCATGAGTCAGCACTAAAATACAATACATATTCCAGTCCAATTACAAAATCACTGTAAAAAGGATAGACCAACAATCATCCAAGCCCCTTTTGAAGGCTTGTACAGACTCACACACCACTAAACCAGAAGGAAGTTTATTCCAGTAGTTAACTACTTGGTTTGTAAAAAAAAGCTGCCCAGATGTCCAAACGACCTCTATGTTATTTAAGCTTCAGGCGAATACTGTGCAAAAATGACATTGCAATGCAGAGGCATTTTTGTTGATGTACAAGCGTACAACCACTTTAGAGTTTTTGATTTTGAATTTCATCCTTGCATGTTCGCCATCGAAATCTGCTGCGTGTAGTTCTAATTCACATGATGGTAGCGCGGAAGCGAATAGGTAATCAGGCTTACTTAGGAATCGAACTTCGGCGGCACGACTGACAATCCGACACCCTACCACTAGGCTGTATTTCGGTTATGCCAGCCGCTTATATGTCAACTGTAGCGCCTTGACGAATGCTACACAAGAAATCCGTAGCCCAGTAAGACAGAAGACGACAGGATATAAAGAATGTCTTGAGAAAATAGCACTGTACAATAGCCATGTAAATATAGCCTGAGGGCAGTGGGAGAAAGTGGTGAAGCAATGAGTTACACCACGACGGAGCGCAACAGTTGGGAACACGCGGGCAACATGGCGGACATAGATTAAAAATGCAGTCCGGTATATATAGGCTTTGGATGAGTGCAAAGTAAAACAAAATGTGTACAAGTCTGGATGGTGATGCTTGATGGAGTAAAATGTCATTGTCACTACACAGGCCTCCCCCTAGAAGGCCGAGGGACGAGGACTTCGATCGTTGCTGGCTTGCAGATGTATCAAAGGCAGAATCATAGGAGTTCGTTAGTATTTAGATTATTTAATCTTCTTGTGGATTGGGATGCATCATCGGTGGGCCGTCCCAGCGGGCATGCCGGACTACAAAATCTGGCTAATCCAGAAAAAGGGCGGTAGGACCTTTCACCGCTGCTGAAAGACGGCGTGCTTGGGAGGGGTCACTTCCCCACCACATTCCAATCCACTGCCACAACGAAGCTGTAATCCTGTTCGTACCGGCGAACCGTGGGGGACCAAAAACAACGAGCCAAGCACACGAGCAGCCGAAGCCAGGAAGGCGAGCCAGACAACGATCTGAGCGAGCCAAAATGAGCCACAGACCACGATCCACAGGCCAAAGTGGGTGGGCGAGACGACCAAGCGTTAGGGGTAGACCAAAACATCCGAACGACCAAAACAATAGAGAAACAGCCAACCGTTGAACGGACGGACCCAAATGTGCCAGCCTCATGACTTTACCTGGTAGATGGGGAAAAAACTCAGGGAGACAGATTCAGATATTTACTCTGCTAACCGAAAAGCATAATACGAAAGACGAGAGAAAATGAAAAAGATTCATGAGGTGTGGATGAGTTCGACAAAATCGGAGAAACGAACAGGTTTACGAACTTTTCTACCGTGACTGGTATTAGTTTGCGGCGAATCTGATGACTGGGCTTGTGGTGGAGCTGAAAAGGTAGGCGTCGATACAGGTGGCTCTGTAGATCGCGTAAGTCGATGATGGAACAAACTGTTGTTCATCGATGAACGCAGGCTTGACGAGATCTATCGAGACAGTATCCCTTTTACCACCACGGTCAATCACCAAAGTTTTTGACGACCGTTTAATAACACGGTATAGACCTGTGTAAGGTGCGGAGAGAGGCTGTCTCACTTGGTCGACATGTAAGAATACGTGAGAACATGTAGCAAGGTCTTTCGGAACGTGCACTAGAGTGCGTTGTTCCCTGGGTCTCGCGGGGTGCAGTTGACGCATGTGGTGCGTCAGACGAGCTATGTAGCTCTTGTAGTTTCATGCCCTCTCCTGGGTTGGGGCGACTAATTGTCCAGGGAGACGCAAGGTGCAGCCATAAACGAGTTCGGCCGGAGCAGCGTTAATATCGGTGTTGACAGTATTCCGTAAGCCAAGTAAAACGGTGGGAAGCGCTTCATACCAGTCTGCGTTATCATGTGCACATAGTGCAGCTTACATCTGGCGATGAAAACGCTCAACCATGCCGTTGGCGGCGGGGTGGAATGCAGTCGTTTGGACGTGACGACAGCCGAGGGTCTGAAGAAGGTGAGCAAATGTGCCTGCGAAGTGCGAACCTCGATCAGTTGTCACAACAGCAGGACAACCAAAGTGTGAGACCCAGCGCTCTAGAAAAGTGCGAGCGACAGTGTCTGATGAGCAATCTGGCATTGGGATGGCATCAGGCCATCTTGTAAAGCGGTCTATACAAGTAAGCAAGTAAACGCATCCATTAGATGGAGGCAGTGTCCCAACAAGGTCAACATGAAGATGGTGAAAACGGGCGTCAGGAAGTGGAAATGAACCAAGCGGACTTTTCGTATGTCGATGAACCTTAGACTGTTGGCAACTAAGGCACTGTCTAACATCCCGGTTGACGTTGCGCCACACGAAGCGTTGTGTGACGAGCTTAACTGTGGCACGAATGCCTGGATGCGATACACTGTGAAGAATGTCAAACACAGTGCGTCGGAAAGCCTGAGGAACCACTAGTTGTGGTAAATTTTGCGAAACATCGCAAAGTATGGTTCCATCCGAAGTAAGCAGTGGAACTGGTCGTATGCGTAAGGAGCTAGAGTTACGAAGCTGATCCAGCTCCGGGTCGGTCTGTTGAGCAGCAGCCGTTTCCGCTAGATCGATACCTTCAGCAGACGTGATGGGGCTGACGCGAGAAAGAGCAGCAGCGACGGAGTTCTGCACACCAGAGACGTGCCGTATGTCTGACGTAAACTGTAAGACAGTCCAGGTGGCGTATCTCTCTCGGAGAGTATCGGCCGGATGACGATTCGAGGGGGTAAACTAAAGGTTTGTAGTCAGTAAAGACGGTAAAGATTCTGCCCTCTAGAAAAGGACGAAAAGGACGGATGGCGAGGTAAACTGCCAGAAGTTCTTTCCCGAAGGTGTTGTAACGTGTCTCCGCTGGTTGCAACCGTTTGGAAAAGAAACCCAACGGTTGCCATGTATTGTCGACAGCCTGCTGAAGAACAGCACCAACGGCCTCGTCTGAGGCATCAGTGACGAGAGAAATTGGAGCAGATGATACTGGATGTGCTAAGAGAGCAGCATTAGCGATTGCGGCTTTAAGGTTTGAGAAGGCTAATCGCGCGGACTTGGTAAAAACAAACAAACGTTGATTGCCCCGAAGCAAGTCAGTCAAGGGCTGCATTATCCTAGCACAACACGGAATAAAGCGTCGATAGTAGTTGACTATCCCAAGGAAACGTTTAAGCTGTTTAAACGACGTAGGTTCAGGGGAATCTTTGATGGCGGTTACCTTTTGAGACAGTGGTTCAATACCTGTAGCTGAGATGCGGTGACCTAGGAACTCGATCGACGATTTTCCTAGTTCGCACTTGCTAGGGTTCAAGGTAACGCCTCGATCAGATAGGCGTTGGAATAGAGTACGCAGATGCTCTAAGTGTTGCGACTTAGAGGCGCTAGCTACTAGGATGTCATCCACGTAAGGATTTGCGAAGTCCACGAGTAACGTCATGGATGAACCGCTGGAATGTTTGAGCAGCGTTCCTTAACCCGAAAGTCATACGAAGGAACTCGAATAAACCAAAGGGTGTTATAACTGCAGATTTGGGGACATCACAGTCCTCTACAGGAACCTTGTGATATGCTCGCGTCAGGTCTATCTTACTAAACACTGACTTACCATCGAGACTACCTGTAAGGTCCTGGATGTGCGGTATAGGATACCTATCTGCAACTGTGCACTTGTTCAGCGCCCGGTAGTCTCCGAAAGGCCGCCAGTCACCGCATTTCTTGGGCACCATGTGGAGAGGTGAGGCCCACTGACTTTCGGAAGGACGGATGATACCAAGTTCGAGCAAGTGCTCGAATTCCGCCTTAGCGGCTTTTAGCTTATCAGGGCGAGACGTGGCCGTGCAGAAACCGGTGGGCGACGAGTTCGTATATGGTGAATAACGCTAGATGCGACCGGAAGCGTAGCGTCAGCTGAGTGGACCAGTTGCGGAAACTGTCTGAACAGCTCTAAAATTCCTTATTAGCTTCGGGCTGAATGTGAATGGAAGTGACAGAAACACAAGATGTGAGAACTCCACATGTGAAAAGCTGGGTCTTTTTGTCAACGAGTTTGCGATGACGCTTATCGACGAGATCGATGTGTTAAAGGAAGTCGATACCCAATATAGCGAACGGAACAGTAGCAATGGTGAAAATCCATCGAAACTGATGTCGTATTTCGAAGTCGATGGTAAGGGAGCGTTGACCGAAAACTCGGATAGCAGTGCCATTAGCGGCACGCAAGTTGGTTGTCTGTGGCTTAGTCGCGTCGTTTGGAACCGGTGGGAGCACGCTAACTTCCGCCCCGGTATCAACCAGGAACATGATCCTGGTGTTCCTATTAACGATTTTGAAGAGGCGACTTGGACGACTTCGGCCGACGACGTTCGTCGCCACTATGTGTCGGCCTGTCCTTTTCCCGTTACGGGAAATGAGCATGGTTTTATACAATTTCTAGCAGACCTTCCAAAATGTGCGTGATAACGGCAAATTGGGCGTCGTGTTCGTCTTCGAGATGGGCTAGGGGAACGGGATGGAGAATCCCGTTGGTGCCGATGTAACTTTAAGCTTTGAACTTCTTGCTGTAGCGCGGCTATCTCTGCTAAGAGCTCACCAGTCGAAGGTGGAATAGCGGTGTTGATGGTTTGGACCGAAGGGTCAGCAGTAAAACCTACGTCAGGTGAGCGAACAGAACTAGACGACGGACATGGTGGTCCGGTGAAACGATCCATCATGTCATCAGAAATATCTGCAATTCCTGACAAAGGCTGCGATTTCGCAAACGATAGCATTGCTTTTACATTTTCAGGCAAACGCTGAAGCCATAACTCTCGAAGCAGCGACTCGTCCATATGCGATCCTTGAAGAAGACCACGCAGCTCTAGCAACAGCGCGGATGGCTTACTAGAACCTAGCTGTAGATCAGTAAAGAGTTTATGCAGGCGGAACTTGTCTGAGGGAGTAACACGCTTTATTACAGCGTTCCTGAGAAAATTATAACGGTCAGGAGAACGAGATGTAATAATAAGATCACATAGTGCTATAGTAATATCAGTTGGCAGGCGTGTTAGCAAGTGATTAAACTTTGCAGTCACTAGTAACATACGTAGAAGTAAATTAGGCTTCTAAAATCATGAACTACAAAACGGGATCTTTTCCAATAAAGGGTGGAACTACGAGAGAAGACTGTGAATCTTCACACTTTTTAGAAACTGAGGCCATGGCTTGCGTGGAAAAACTAAAGAAATGGAACGAACTCACCGGAATGCGATTGGAGGTCACCAAGTATGTAGCGCCTTGGCGAATGCTACACAAGAAATCCGTAGCCCAGTAAGACAGAAGACGGCAGGATATAAAAAATGTCTCGAGAAAATAGCACTGTACGATAGCCATGTAAATATATCCCGAGGGCAGTGGGAGAAAGTGGTGAAGCAATGAGGTGCCACGACAGGGGAGCGTATGATTACCGTAAGATTCAGATTCAGATGGACTGGAACGATAGGAAAATCCCTTGAGTGTTCCTTCTTGAGCAAATCGTTGAGCCAGGAAATGATAAGGTGCTAGTTCTTGATAGATTTAAAACGAAACACCCGAAACACACCCTGGTCAACCAATTACTGCCCACGTTCCCTGCACCAGCAGTCCGCGCTGTGTAGGTTACGTGAAGTAAGAAAGAAGTAGAAAGTAAATGGAAGATAAAGGGGAATGAAAGTCATGAAAATGAAGGATAACACCAAAGAGTGAAGAGAATGACAGAATAAGAACTAAAAGCTTGAAGATGGATATGATCAGGAGAAGGGAAAGGTTTCGTGTTGCCACCCAAGAGCGTCTAACTGACGCTCGAAACCCTTAACCGTAGGTTCACTGACTACACTTTCTGGAAGCGAGTTCCAGCGCTCAACAACTCTACGCGATAACCGAGTTTCCGCCCTGATCCGGTCAGAACGCGGCATGTGTAGCTTCATGGGATGACCGCGAAGACAAGGCAACCTAGCTGGGCTAAATAGCCAGCTCAAGTCCGGTCCAACCTTCCCTGTTAAAATGCGGTAAGTAAGGATTAGGTCTCCTCGAAGCCGTCGGTAGTGCATTGAATACATACCCAAGCTAAGTAGACGCTCGGGGTACGATTGCCCCCGTAACCCATCGACCAATTTGGTACCTACTCTCAAAACCCTCTCAAGCTCCATTTTGTTCCGAACAAGGCAGGGCGGGCAAGCCTGGACGCAGTATTCCAGATGGGGCCGGACGAAAGCTGAGAACAGCTTCACAAATATGTCGGCAGTTAGGACCCCGAAAGAACGGCGCATTAACCACAACATTCTGAAACTCCTACTAGCGGCCTTCTTCCAGTTGTCACCAGAATGCAAAGCCGAGGAATGAACGACACCTAGGTCTACCTGGTTGGAGACAAGGGGGAGTTCGACCCCACCGAGTACGTAGCTCGAAGGCGGGAAAGTTGCTCCCATACAAAGGACGGAACACTTAGCCTGATTTATGGGCAGTAGCCACAAAGTAGACCAGTCCCAGAGTCTGTCCAGTGCATGCTGTATGGCCTCAGAACCCCCAGGAACATTTACAACATTCCATAGCTTAAGGTCATCAGCAAACAATAGGGATGATACCCCAAGCTCTTCAGGGAGATCGTTTACGTAGATGGAGAACAGCATCGGTCCAAGGACCGAGCCCTGTGGGACACCGCTAAGGACCGCTTGCTTAAAGGATAAGCTGCGACCCACACGTACATACTGCTCTCTTTCCTGCAAAAACGCAGATACCCAGTGAAGGGCGCGGCCAGATACGCCGTAGGACCTCAGCTTATGTGATAGCCTCAAGTGGGGTACCTTATCAAATGCTTTCGAGAAGTCTACGAAAAGCACATCCACCACGTGGCTATTGTCCACTGCCTCGGCCCAAGCTTCACGAGCAACCAACAAATTCGTCAAACACGAAAATCCCTTCCGGAATCCATGTTGTGCACTACTGAGTAGATTAAATCTATTCAGGTGACATTCCAACGAATCTCTCACCAGCTTTTCAAGCAGTTTGACCACGACGCTAGTCAGACTAACTGGCCTATAATTGGCTGACAGACTCCTGTCACCATTTTTGAAGATAGGACAGAGGATAGAATCCTTCCATTCGGAAGGTAATGTACAGCTGTCAAGTGACTTCTGAAACACCATCGTCAGCGGTCCACTTAGTTCCCCCGCCAACTCATGCAGAAGCTTCGGGTGAATTGAATCAGGTCCAGCTGCTTTGGAAGGGTTCAGTTCTGGCAGCAGTTTAAGGACTTGCGTTTCCACCACAGTAAACTCAGCTAACTAAGAACCATCAGGTACTCTGGGGACAAGTTCAACTCTAGTCAACGCGGCCTCACGTACAAAAGCCCCTGCATACTGTTCCCCAAGTACACGAGCCTTATCTGAGTCCGCATACGCACGAGTTCCATCGGCCCACATCAAAGTTGGGATTACCGAAGTTGAACCACAGCGTCTCTTAACATAAGCGAAGAACTTCTTCGGATTTTCCGAAGCTCCGTCAGCCAAGAAGGATGAATGTGCAAGTTCAAGCTCAAGTTCAAGTGGGACCGGAACAGTAGGATAAATCCAAGTGAATGTTCCTTCCGTGACGCGTCGTTGATCCAGGGTATTACTCGTCCGCGATAACTGGAATCCAGAAGAGTCAGATCATCAAGCGCGAATCACAACGCGGTCAACAAATTAATACCCACGCGACCTGCACTGACAGTCCCCGCCGCACCGGGCACGTGAAATAAGAAAGCGAAATACGAAAGTAATAAGAGCGTCAAGAAAAAACCTAAGAGATTTAATAATTCAATAAGACGAATAAGCTAGGACGTGAAGGGGAATGTTAAGAATTGAAAACCAGGAGCGTCGAGTCGGCGTTCGAACTCTTTCACTGTTGGTGCCAATACCACGTTCTCGGGCAGTGCATTCCAGGAATCCACCACTCGGCGTGATAAACGTAAGTCCGCCCGGACTCCATCCGATCGAGATTTGTGTAGATTCAGCCAGTGACCTCGGAGCGATGGAAGCCGAGCCGGTTGGAAAAGACCGGATAAATCGGGTCCGATTTTACCGGTAAGTATACGTTAGGTCAAGACTAGGTCACCTCGATGTTGACGACGGTGCATGGAGAACATTTCCAGCGCAAGTAGTCTTTCCGGGTAAGAATGGTTCCGCAGTCCATGGACCAGTTTGGTTCCAACTCTCAACACTCCACTGACATCCTGTCCCTTACTAAGCAAGGTGGACAAGCCTGGATGCAGTATTCCAAGTGTGGCCTGACAAACGCTGAGAATAACCTAACAAACATAGCGTCCGTGATGGTCCTAAATGCCCTGCGGATCATCCACAACATGCTGAAACCCTTGCACGCAGCTTTCCTCCAGTTCTCACTGGATTTAAGTTCTGAAGACAATGTGACCCTTACCAATTGGGTAACATGGTGGAGTTCATTACCGCCAAGCAAATAACGCTTTTGGGGGCTATTTGGCCCTACTCCTAAGATGGAACACTGCATAGTTTATGGGCAACTGCCACAGAGCAGCCCAGTCCCAAAGTTTATCGAGGGCCCGTTGCAGAGTTTGGGGTCCATCGAAGTCAGACACTGTGTGCCAAAACTTTAGGTTATCTGCAAACATGAGAGATGGTACCTCCAGCGGTTCGGGCAGCTCGTTGACATACAAGGAAAATAACAACGGGCCAAGCACCGAACCCTGAGGGACCCCACTGAGGACTGACTGTCGGAAAGACAGACTAAACCCGACAGGAACACACATCTCTCTCCCTTCCAGAAACGTGGTGATCCATTTTAGGACACCGCTGGATATTCCATAGGACCGAAGTTTCAAGGAAAGGCGAGAATGTGATACAGTGTCGAACGCCTTGGAGAAGTCAATAAACACTACAGCTACTGCATGACCCCGATCCAAAGCATCCGCCGAACATTCGCGTGCAACTAGCAAATTAGTCATACAGGAATGACCCTTGCGAAAGCCGTGTTGCAGTGGACTGAGCAGACCATAATCCCGCAGGTGGTCTTCAAGCACATCACTGACCAACTTCTCCAATACCTTGACCAGTACGCTTGTCAAACTTACTGGTCTATAATTGGCAGGAAGATGCTTGTCGCCCTTTTTAAAAATCGGGCAAACGATAGCATCCTTCCAGTCCTTAGGAAAGGAGCAGCTGCGAAGCGACAATTGAAACAAATGCGTCACTGGGCTACATAGCTCGCTTGCGAGTTCGTACAGAAGCTTAGGGTGAATAGCATCCATCCCAGCGGATTTAGCAGGATTTAGAGCCTGAAGAAGCTGGAGAACTTTTGCCTCCGAAATTGTGACGTGTGTTAAACAGGAGTCCTGGGGGACTTTCATTGATAGG